CTGGGGAGGACAGGGGCCTCAGCGGGGTACAATGCCACTGAGTCCACCCTCCAAATCATCCATTTTCTCCAGGGGGACTGATCGCAGTAGTCTGGAGAGGAGCAGCAGTTCCGAGGGATCCCCAGGTCCCACTTGGAGGCTGGCATCCCTAACTGGAAGACCTCACCCTTGCAGGACCCATGGCTATTTTTGGGCAGGAAGAATGCACAGGAACGGAGTTCCGGCTGGCTCCTGAGTTGGTCACGCCCAGCAGGAACTCATTAGCATAATAGGCCACACCCAACAGCAGAAACTCATTAGGATTGGCTACCATTAGGGATGTGTGGCCTAACATGCAAAAAGCGCTGGGTTTTGACAACAAACAAGGTAAACAGAATAACAAGCAAAAGGTGGGTGTGGCTGGATAACAACACTTCTGGTAACATGAGGGTCCGGCCTAATGTGCTAATGAGCTGTGCTGTCGGGGTGTGGCCTAATAGGCTAATGAGTTTCTGCTGTTGGGTGTGGCCTATTATGCTAATGAGTTCCTGCTGGGCTTTTTCTACAAAAAGTGCCCTGGCAGGACCCCAGTGCTGTCTCCATCCGGGGTCCTATGGCAGCTGTCAGACACTCCAGGGAGAAAATATGTATGTGGTCCTCAGTTTCTTGTAGGAAAGTTTGGTTACAGATCTAATCAATAAAAAGAAGAAGAAGAAGAAGAAGAGGAAGAGGAAGAGGAAGAAGACAATGACATTGGATTTATACCCCACTCTTCACTACCCGAAGGAGTCTCAGAGCGGCTTACAATCTCCTTTCCCTTCCCCTCCCCACAACAGACACCCTGTGAGATCGGTGGGGCTGAGAGAGCTCTTTCGAGGACTGCTTTTTCCAGAATAGCTCTGAGAGAACTGTGACTGGCCCAAGGTCATGCCAGCAGCTGCAGGTAGAGGAGCGGGGAATCAAACCCGTTTCTTCCAGATTAGAGTCCAAGCTCCTAACCACTACACCAAACTGGTGTAGAACCAGGGATCCTACTCTTCACAACAAAAATTTATGCTTCTCCATTCCACATGTCTTCTCATTTTTGACAGCTGGGGAACGTGATTGAGATTACCTACTTTAAAAGCAAAACAAAACAACTGCAGCTAACAGAATACCAGTACCTTGAAATGAGCTTTCCCCTCTTTTGTAATATCATGTAACACTCAGTCCTACATAACTATTAAAACTCCCAAACAGCTACTGAGTATTCACTAACACAGTAGCTCATTATTGGTCATAAATGTTACTTGCCAATCCCCCTCCATTTATTGCTAAAGGCTTAATTTGAATCCTTTTAGAGGCATTGTGAAGTTATGCCTTCACTTGTTAATAGATTCAAGTGTTTTAATTCATTCTGGTTGGTGGTTTTTTGTTTTGTTTTTAAGTCCTCTCAGGTTGCCAGTACCAAAGTATTCTTATAACCAGAGTACACTGTAGTGTGCAGTATTTGGTATGTTCCTGCAGGGCTTTTTTTGTAAAAAAAAGTCCAGCAGGAACTCATTAGTCTTCTGCGCCTTCAAAAAAATGAACAATTTTCATTTTAATAAGGCAAGAATCCACTTAATCTTATGTTGCCAACGATCCTTGAACATGTTCTAAGGCACACACTCAGTTCGGGCCATGTCCTTTGGACGTAACCTCATTGTTGACCTGTGTGATTCCAGCATACACTATAGGGCAGTGGTCTTTGACCATTCCAGACCAGAGGAGCCACTGAGCTGCAACCATGAGTCAGGAAGTATGCAGCATCAGGGTCACATGACAGGAAGAGGAGGTGTTAGATTCACTGCCTCGCTGGTGGAAAGGGAGGGCTTTGTACTACAAGCTCATGCAAAGCACTGGATGGACTACTGGTAGGGTAGCGGTGTGGCTTGGCAAGAGGAAGAGATATGATCCACCTTTAATTTTTTTGAATCTCCACAGGAATGGCAGACCATACATGACGTAAATAAATAAGGCAAGGAAGAGTTTTGCTGGGAGGGGGGGACTGTCTCTGAACTTATCTGTGCTGAGAAGTAGTGGCGGATCCTTCCCCCAACAGCAAAATATTGGCATCTCTTTAGGAGATCATGACTCCGCACCTGGAGCTCAGAAGTCCACTTAAGGTTGCTAGGCTCAACCTGGCAACCAGTGGGAAACTGGAATGGGGGGGGGCATCAGTTTCAGTATGATGACAATTCCAGGAAAATCTGGACATGATGTCATGCCTTTCTATGAACTGAGGAAAATCCTATGATTCTACCATAAAGTTTCTGGTGATTCCTAGAGAAACATGACATCACTTCCAGGTTTTCCTGGAAGTGATGTCATGCCATTGCTGACATTATTTAAAAAAAAAAATCTTTATCCTGCTGGTTATTGGACTGTCAGTGGGCAATCTTAAAAATAATGCAATTAAAACAATCCAACACAGAAAATGCACACAGAAAACAAAGTCAGAGAAAGCCGTAGAAGGAGCCAACAGATAGAAACATGAAAGCTTCTGAAACAAAAGCAGATAAAACACAGCTGTCAGGATCAGAAAACAGTAAGATCACCTGAAATCAATAACCAGGTCAAAAGAGGGGACATTTAAAAAAAAAAAAACACACACACACACACACAATAGGAGCATTTTTTAAAAGAAATGTGTGCTAAAACAGGAGCCTGGTATCTGAAAGCACACATGGGCTGATTTCGCACTAGAGCTGCTTCGATGTTGCGCCGCAGTTTGCCCCGATACTATTGGTCAGTTTCACACCCGAAGCTGCAGGGCTGCATTTTGACTCGCGGCTTCGCCCGATTTCCCCCGAAGTTTCGTGATCCTGTTTTTTGAGGATCACAAAACTGCGGAGGAAATCGGGCGAAGCCGTGGATCAAATGCAGCCCCGCGGCTTCGGGTGTGAAATTTACCGATAGTATCAGGGCAAACGGCGGCGCAACATCGAGGCAGCTCTAGTGGGAAATCAGCCATGGTATCACCTAGGCCAAGACGGAATGCCTCAAAGCCGTAACAGAAAAGGTTTGTTTATTTATTAAATTTATATATCGTCCTCCCCCTAATTTGGGGCTCAGAGTGGTTAACAACAAACTATAAATACAATTATAATAAATACTACAGATCTATATAAATAGATAAAATTTTAGACAGTAAAACGACAATAATTGTATGAAAAGATGTGAAAAACAGCAAGACACTGTCCCTATAAGACACATCTGAAAGTATGCATTGCAGTGACCATTTTGGACTGTTGTGAGGACATGTTTTGGACCAGTTCTGTACATTCTTGGAAATGCAGCCCACAGAAAGTACATTTTTTAAATTATTATTTGTTTGAGGAATTTGCTCTCTCAACCTGGCTCACGGTATATAACGATAAAAAGGCGATGGAAAGTGTTGTCAAGTCACAGCCAACTTAATGTGACCCTGTAGGGTTCTCATGGCAAGAGACAAACAGAGGTTATTCACCATTGCCTGCCTCTGAGTAACAACCCTGGGCTTCCTTGGAGGACTCCCAACCAAATACTGACCAGGGCTGGCTCAGCTTAGCTTTCATGATATATGATCAGGCTAGCCTTGACCATCCACCCCAAGGCAAAGCAATAAAATACCAACAAGTAAATAACAAGACAGGGCCATAAAACAAACCAAGCCAATAAGAAACAGTAAAAACAAGACAAGCCCATAAATACAATAAAAACTAGTAAGAACAAAACATTGCAGTGGTCCTGCCTGGATGTTTTCTAGGGCTGCCAGGTCACCCTGATCACTGGTGGTGGGTTTTTTTGCCAGCTCCAGGTTGGGAAACCTCTGGATATTTGGGGGTGGAGCCTGGGGAGGACAGGGACCTTAGTGGGATACAACGCCACAGACTCCACCCTGCAAAGCATCCATTTTCTCCAGGAGAACAGATCTCTGTAGTCTGGAGATGAGTTGTAATTCTGGCAGATCCCCAGATCCCCCTGAAGGCTGGCATCCCTATCAGACCATGTGACTAAATCACATCTTTCAAGGACCACAGCTGGTGTACCAGATAAAGCAGGTTAAAAGTGCTAAAGAGACTTGTGCTCCCATTTGCAATTCCAGACCTAGCAGAACCCCAAAACTCATCTTTAAAGGGGAATAAAAAACCTACCGTAGACAGACTGACGATTCAAATTCTGTCTGGCCTTATTATAAACAAACAGTATTTCCAGGGCTTTTTTGGTAGAAAAAGCCCAGCAGGAACTCATTAGCATAATAGGTCACACCCAACAGCAGAAACTCATTAGCGTATTAGGCCACACCCCTGACAGCACAGCTTATTGGCATATTAGGCCACACCCCATGTTACCAGAAGTGTGCTCATCCAGCCACACCCACCTTTCCCTTCTTATTCTGTTTACCGTGTTTGTTGTCCAAACCCAGGGCTTTTTTGTAGCAGGAACTCCTTTGCATGTTAGGCCACACACCCCTAATGTAGCCAATCGTAATGAGTTTCTGCTGTTGGGTGTGGCCTATTATGCTAATGAGTTCCTGCTGGGCGTGGCCAACTCAGGAGCCAGCCGAAACTCCGTTCCTGTGCGTTCCTGCCCAAAAATAGCCCTGAGTATTTCCATTATATCTGGACAGAGCTTAAGTTTATTAGCCCACATCAACCCTATCACCCCTACCAGGGAACGAACCTTCTCATCCGAGAAACTTCCATCCCAAAGTTCTCCAGAACTTGTTTTGAAAGGCATTCTTGCTCAACATAAGCGCCCGAGAGGACACAATGGAGGTCCCATAAGAATCCATAAGGCTCCGTTGTTCTTACAAAACATACATGCTGTTCATAATGGGCCACAACAATTTTGATACGGGAACCTCTTAAGTACTTGCAACTATATGCACCAGACATCCAACATATGCTTATCCTGGAGAGCACAGTAGCCAGAATTGTTTGTACAATATAATTTGGTATGCATGCATCTCTAAACACCAAAACCTTAGCAAACTGGGGAGGAAAAAAAAAACTTGCTTTGAGAATCAGGAGGTGTCGATTTGGCAGCTGAGCAAGGAAAGAGCTTCATAAGCCTCTCTTTAATGCTGTGTTTGGTACTGTTCTGGGCGTAGAGGAAACCTAGAAGATACATTGATTAGGGCTGTTAAACCTCTGAAGAATAAACTTGCATGCGGCACACCAAACATTTGCATACTAGAATGTAGCACAGCAAACAGCCAGGCAGATGTTCTCAGCCAAGAAAAAAATATATACACCCCCCCCACACACACACAAGGACAACAAAATCACGTTTAATTCCATATACAGCAGGCTTTTTGTCCAAATCCTCAAAGCACAACAAATAAGGAAATGCAAACGCCAGCATTAATTTCTCTCTGTAAATGAGAGCCAGATGTCTGGGTGATTTTTTCCCCCTTCAAAATTAAGTGACAAAATATTGACTGACACCTCTGAAATTGCGTTAATTGCCTGGTGATTCAAATATAAAATGAAAATCCGCTTTGTTGTCCCTTGCAATGTTTTAAGAGCCACTGCTGAGTTTACATCAAACAATTCACACGTGTCATTCATTCAGGAAACTGATAAAGCAGCTGGTACTTTTGTGGGGGGGGGGTTTCCTTGATACACGGTTATCCCTCAGTTTTTCTCTGTCATTTCAAGATAAATCATGACAATCCTTGATGCGTTTTCACATACAGACTAAAGGAAAGTGTCATTTGGCTGTTTAGCTCAAGGATCCCCAACCTTTTTGAGCCTGAGGACACATTTGGAATTCTGACAGGGCATGATGGGCACAGAAACAAAATGGCTGCCACCGGAGGTCACAAAATGGCTTCCACAGTGAAGATCCTTGTGCTGTGGTGGCAGCTGTTGCCTAAACAACAAATCCGCACAGTCAAATATCCAGTAGCCAATTAATCATCAATCAGAACTTTGCTGGGTAGGGTTGCCAGCCTCCAGGTGGGGCCTGGGGATCTCCCGCTTTTACAAATGATCTCCAGCTGACAGAGATCAGCTCCCCTGGAGAAAATGGCGGTGGACTCTATGGCACCGTACTATGCTGAAGTCCCTCCCCTCCCTAAACCCCACCCTCTCCTGGCTCCACCCCCAAAGTCTCCAGGTATTTTCCAACCCAGACCTGGCAACCCTATTGCTGGGCAAAAGCTCTACCTGGCCCCACCCACATCCTAAAAACAGTTGGCGGGTGCCAGAAAAGGTGTTGAAGGGCACCATGGCACCGATGGGCACCATGTTGGGGACACCCAGTTTAGCTGGTATAACGTAAAACGAGAAGTCTAATGCCACTGAATCCATCAGAAAAGGAGCCAGGAAGGATTTCTGGAGAAAAGCAGACTACAGAAGTTTCCATGGATTTTCAACCACTAAGATACATGATCTAGGGTTGCCAAGTCAAAAAACCTCACCGGCGGGGGAGCCTCGCATGGCTCCGGAAGCCGTCCCTGGATGCGCGCGCGTGCGCCGCCAACACGTCACCGGAAGTGACGTGCAACATTGACCACATTGAGGGCGTGACCATAGAGTTTTCCCTCCGACGATCTGGGCTACACCCCCAATGTGATTGACGTGGTTGCGTCACCTCTGGTGACACAGCCACGCTGCGCTTTGGGGGGCGGAGTTCCCCCCGGGGCCCGATTCCACGGCAGTGGAAATCGGGCCTCCAAAGTGGGGGTTTATTCGCCCCCCACTTGGCAGCCCTAACATGATCTGTAACTGAAATAAGCAATTTTGTACATCAGTGATCTGCCAAATTTGTTCCAGGGAACTCTGGAATAGTATACACATGAGGCTGCCTTATACTGAACCAGACCCTTGGTCCATCAAAGTCAGTGTTGTCTACTCAGACCGGCAGCAGCTCTCCAGGGTCTCAAGGCCGAGGTCTTTCACGTCACCTCCTAGTACCTGATGTTATCATTTTATTCTGGTTAAACCTCACTTGGAGTATTGTGGTCAGTTTTGGGCACCACAGTTTAAGAAGGATGTTGAGAAGTTCCACTTGCCCAGATGAGGACAACAACAATGGTGAGGGGTCTGGAGATCAAGGCTGTGGTCATAGGGTCATTTTGATCGGGTCTCACCACTGTTCCCCATCGCATTAGAAAGGGCTCATCAGACGACCGCATCCGTCTCCCATATCCAGAAATCATTATAGTTCCTCTTTCTTCAGCTATTTATAAAGCATGTCATCCATCAAAGTCAGTGTAAGGAATAGCTACTGTTCAAGTTTATTACGGTCATAGACCAGTATAATAGAAGACAAGTAAATACAGTTACAGGAGCAGTAAAATTATAAAATATATCGGCATCTAAAATTATAAATAGGATCTAAAAACGTTAACATACAGAAATAATAGAATCAGAATTTTGATTAAAAATTAGGTTTAGGCCTATCTGTCCTTTATCTCTTTCCTAGTTTGGTATGCCAACCAACCAAATTTGGCAACCATCCTAGTCAACTTTTGATTATCTCCTGCCAGCATAATTGACAAAAGTATCCTTCTATCACGACCTGGAAAGGAATTAACTATAGGCTTGATCAAAACTTCCCTGGTATTATGATATATAAGACAATCGAAAATTGCATGTTCCAATGTTTCATCAGATCCCATCCCACAAATACAACTTTTCCTCAATGATCTAGTAAATCTGGCCTCCATTATGGCTGAGGGTAAGGCGTTGTATCTTAATAGGGTAAAAATTCTTCTATGATTGCTGATATCTAAATATTTGATGTAAGGTCTCACAGCTATCTTGTTAAGTGAACTTACATCAAATACAGGGCTCCTAATCCTGCTCACGTCCATCTGTCGTTCGACATCTAATATTCTTTGTTTTAGAACTGATCTAGCCCGATCGTGTCCCAAAGACAGAATAAACTGTTTTGAAAAACCATAACAGACCAGTTTATCTTCTATCTTTTTCCGCCATGAAGGAACAAAGTTATCTTGCATCATAGTATGGGAAAGGCCAATGGGTAAAAAAATCAATTTTAACCAATAGTAAAATGCAGCAATCCACAATCTTGCCTCGACCATAACCAGGCCAGCCTCTAAACGGATTGCAGCATTTGAAACGCTTGTTGGAACTTGAAATATAGCTCTTAAAAATTTCGATTGTGTTCTTTCAAGTAAGGTCAAGTTTGTCAGGAGAGACAAAGGAGCTCCATATAATAATTGGGGTAATACCTTTACAGTGAATAACTTAATGGCAGCTTCTAAGTTACGACCTCCTTTGGACCAGAAGAACCTTTGAATAGCTCCAGCGCTTTTCTTTGCATTAGCTGACAGGTAATCAACATGGCCTTTCATATGACCGGACGACTGAAATACAACTCCAAGGTATCTATAGCAACGAACTTGCTCAATGGTACGAGAGTCAATAACCCATTTAAACATCCTAGGCCTATTGGCAAAAGCCATTATTTTAGTCTTCATATAATTTATCTCTAAGCAATTCTGATTACAGTATTGCATAAGAGCACACATAGCTCTCTTAAGTCCCTTAGGGGTCCTAGAAAGCAAGACGGCATCGTCTGCATAAAGCAAGATTGAGATGTGTCTGTCTGCAAGCTTTGGAGGATGAAATTCAGGTTTGTACAAAAACTGTACCATGTCATTGATGTAAATATTAAATAAAAGAGGTGCCAAGATACATCCTTGTTTTACTCCTCTATCTGACCTGATCATCCTAGTAAGATGACCTTGAGGATTACATCGTACCCTAATAAAAGTATTTTTGTGAAGAGCTCTCAATAAAAACAGTAAGCGCCTATCTATCGTAGAAGATTTCAACTTTTCCCATAGGATTGTTCTTGAGACAGAATCAAATGCGGATTTAAAATCTACGAAAGCTGCATACAATGAGGTTAAAGAATTCGAAGAGTATTTGGAAATCAAGTGATTCAATATCACACACTGATCTAAACATGACCGTCCCTCTCTAAAGCCTGCTTGTTCCTGTCTCAAAAGACCTTCCTGCTCCATCCAGTCTTTTAGCTTCCACTGTAAGTGTTTTGAATAAAGCTTACTTATTATACTTAGCAGACTGATCGGCCTATAATTAACAGGATCCTCTCTGTTCCCTTTCTTGTAAATAGGCACTATTATTGCCACCCCCCAGTCTTTAGGTATTCTACCAGTTCTATCTATAGTTGTAAATAAGGTAGCAAGAACTGGAACCCACCACTCGAGGTTCCTCTTGATCAGGTCTGCACATATAAGATCAGAACCTGGGGCTTTGTTGGAACTCAGGGTCTGTATGAGGTTCTTAATTTCTTGAGGATGCACAGGGGACCAAGAGGGTAAGGTAGCTATATCCAGGACCTCTGAAGCAGCCTCATCCTGACCTTGGTAGAGCTGCTCAAAATAATTTTCCCAAGTTTCAGGGAGAATTGTATTACTGCACACTGAGGGAGGTCTAGTATTACAATTAGAGACCATATTCCAGAATAAACAGGGATTTTTATCTCTGCATGCTGAGCTTAATTGCTCCCATGCAAGGGCTATGGCGGCCTTCTTTTTTCGCTGTATCAAGGCCTTATATTGTTTCTTTAAGATTTTCATGTCCTCTAGGGTGTCCTTATCTTCATCACACCTATATTTGATATACATAGCATTAAGAGCACTTTTCAAAGATCTACACTCTTTATCAAACCAAGACCTTGAATTACTATTAATTAATCTATTTTGTTTAAAGGAAGGCTTCCCCATTACATTTTGTATTTCTCTTATAATATGAGCATAAGCGTCCAGATGTAAATCATCCTGACCCTCAATTCCTAACTTAGTTAAACACTCATCGAGGACACCAGAACTCAAAAGTTCTACAATTTCTTTCTCTTTCCTTTCATTCCAGGGTACCCTATAATACTCATTTCCTTCCACATTACCCTCCAGATGTAAATCTGTAATTCGAGGATCACAGTTCGGTGCCACAAATCTCAGAATGGTAGGGAAATGATCACTCTCTAAGTATGAGGAGACTTCAAATAGTTCAACCAAGCTTAACATATTCCCTGAGACAGATCGCATAAATCTTTCGCCTCCTAGTACCTGATACTTTCAACTGGAGATGCTAGGGGTTGAACCTGGGACCTTCTG